ACACTGGACTCAGCCACGAGGGGGTCATTGGTGATCTTGATGAGAGCAATTTGGGTGGCAGGATGGGGACAAGAGTCTAATTAGGGAGGTTCGAGAGTGAATGAGGGGAGAGAAATCAGAGACAGAGTATGGTTACTCTTTCAAAGTGGTTGCTGTGAAGGGATGGAGAGAAATGGGGCGGTGGCTAGAGGGGGCAGTAAGATCAAGAGAGGCGTGCTTGTCTGTTTGTTTTCAGATGGGAATGGTAATAGCTCGTTTATAGACTCGTGAGAATGATCCAGCTGGTTCTTTGAGAAGATCAATAAAATTGATAAATCCCTGCCCAGACTTATTAGGGAAAAGAGAGAAAAGTCAAATTACCAATATCAGGAATAAGAAGGATGTAATCACTACAGATTACAGATGTTAAAAGGATATTGAGGGAATGTTATGAACAACTTTATGCCAATAAATCGACATCTTAGATGAAATGGACAAATTCCTTGAAGGGCTAAACTAGAAGGCTCTCAAGAAGAAACAAATAACCTAATTAGCCTTATATCCATTTAACAAAGTAGATTTATAGTTAAAAATCTTCCTACAAAGAAAACTCCAGGCCCAGGTAGCTTCACTGGTAAATCCTACCAGACTTTTAAGGAAGAAATAATACCAACTCTACACAAACTCTTTCAGAAAATCGAAAAGGAAGGAACACTTCACAACTCATTCCATGAACCCAGCATTACTCTGATACCAAAACCAGACAAAGACACTATAAGAAAACTACAGCCCAGTATCTCTCCTGAACAGAGGTACAAAAATTCTAAACAAAATTTTAGCAAATCAAACCGAACAATATATTAAGAGGTGATACATCATGAGTGAATAGGGCGTATTCCAGGGATGCAAGGTTGATTTAACATTTAAAAATTAATCAGCATGATTCACCATATTAACAAACTTTAAAAGATGCAGAAAAAGGATCTGATAAAACCCAACATCGATTCATGACAAAAATTCTCAGTAAACTAAAAATATAAGAGAACTTCCTCTACCTGATAAAGGGCATCAATGAAAAACCCACATCTAACATACCTAATGATGAAAGACTGAATGCTTTCCCCCTAAGATCAGGGACAAGACAAGGATGTCTACTCTCACACTTTCTATTCAACATTGAAGAAAACAAAATACAGAATCCAGAAATAAAGTCACACGTATATGGACAATTGATTTTCAATAAAGGTGCAAAGGCAATTCAGTGGAGAAAGGATGTCTTTCAACAAACGGTGCTGGTGCATTTGGATATTCATATACAAAGTAAATGACTTTCAATCCATACCTTGCACCATATACGAAAATTAACTCAAAATGGATCATTGATCTAAATGGAATAGTTTTACATAACTGTGAGACTTCTAAAAGAAACTTCAGGAGAAAACCTTTGTGACCTTAGGTTTGGCAAAGATTTCTCAGACATGATACCAACAGCACAATGCACAAAAGAAAAAAATTGATAAATTGGACTTCATCAAGGCAAAAACTTCTGCTTTTTGAAAAACACTGTTAAGAGACTGAAAAGGCAAGCCACAGACAGGGAGAAAATATTTGTAAATTGTATATTTAGTAAAGGACTTGTATCTAGAATATATAAAGAATTTTCAAAACTCAGTGATAAGAAAAGAAACAAACAATTTTTTAAAAAGATTTGAACAGACGCTTTACCAAAGAAATTGTGTGGATGGTGAATAAGCCCATGAAAAGATGCTTAACATGATTAATTATTAAGGAAATGCACAATAAAACCACAATGAGATATCACCACACACCCATTAGAATAACTAAGATTAAAAAGACTGACCGTGTCAAATACTGGCAGGATGTGGAGGAACTGGTACTCTACATGGCTGCAGGGGATACAAAATCATGCAACCACTCTGGAAAATACTGTGGCAGTTTCTTAAAAAGTTAGACATACACTTACCATACAATCCAGCCATTCTACTCCTAGATATTTACCCCCCAAAAATGAAAGTATATGTCTATATAAAGACATGTACACAAGGTTCACAGCAACTTTATTTGCAACAACAACAAACAATACACATGTCCATCAATAGGTGAATGGGTAAATAAACCATGGTACATCCATACAATGGAATACTACTCAGAAATAAAAAGGAATGGACTATTGATGTATGCTACGAAATGAATGGCTCTCAAAATACTCATGTTGAGTGAAAGAAGCCACAAAAATAAGACTGCAAACTGTATGACCCACTTATGTAAAATTTTAGAAAATACAAAGTAATTTATTGAGACAGAAAGCAGATCCATGATAGCCTGGGGATGGGGCAGGGGCAGTGGGGTAGGCTGTAGAGAAGGGATTACCAAGGGGCAAGAGGAAATTTTTTAGGGTGATGGATGTGTTCATTATCGTGATTGTGGTGAGGGTTTCATTAATGATATATTTGTCACTTCAAATACATGCAGTTTATGTCTAGTATACCTCAATAAACTGTTAAAAAATGAGTTTGGGGAATATTGTATTTGGAATTTTTATACAAAGCCAGTCTTTCTTAACACGTTTTGTTTTTCTTATAATTCAATAACAACAAAAAGTCAAAATCAAAGCCCACAAATCTCCTCTAGTTTCACAAATATTGTGGGCTGTACCAATACCATCATTTTCTGTGTGCCATGCTCTGGGAAAAGGACTGGTTTTGAGGGTCATTCTTCCATCCTTGGGAGTGAAGGGGTCAAGGTGATGTTGTTGATGATGATGTCGTTGGCTTTTAAGCACGAAAGGATGCAATAGCAGGGGTGTCCCCAACCACAGGACTGAAAGTCCTCTCCACGTGTTCCGTTTTGCTTTCTGGAGAGGTGAGTGGCCGAGGCTTAGAAACAAAGAAAAGTGTCGGCTGGAGTGCAGCATCTGTGGGCACCAACCCAGGAGCCCCGGTCCACCCAAGCAGCAGGGAGAGGGAGAGGGGTGTCTGTGCGTGGTCGTGGAAAGAGGGAGGACGAGGTGACCTGAGGTTTCCAGGTTCCAGGGTGATGTGACTTTGGATAAGTAGACTCAGTGCACCCCCAACCCCTCAGTGCCTCTGCATCTTGCTGCCCCAGAGGCGGCTGCCTCCCCCCTGAGCACAGAGAGAATCCAGGGAACAGCCTGAGCCAGAGAGCCACGAGGCCACCAGCCAGACACAGAATTTGACCTGGCCGTGTGTCCAGAGGTCAAAATGGGGAGCAGGCAGAGGCTCCAGCAGTGGCTGCAATGGCCACTTCACCCCAGGAGGGGGCTGCAGCTGTCCCTGGTTTGGCATGCCTAGTACCATGTGTCCGTACGCGGCAACAGCGGCAGCAGAGCAGAGGGCTGAGTGCCCAGTGAGCATCCACCTGGGTTCACGTCACGGCTTTGCCAGTTACCAGCCATGTGCCTTAGGCAAGTTCCTTAACAGGTCTGTGCCTCAGTTTCTCCATCAATAAAATGGCGATAACAAAAATTACCACATACAGTTGTGAGGATTAAAGGAGTTAATATCTATAAGATGTTTAGACAATTCCTGACACAGAGTGTGCTCGCTGATGTCTTTGCCATTGTTGCATTATTCCATCCTTTTGGAATCTCTTTCCTGCCCTCTCCCACACAGACAACTCAGGCTTGCCCACACGGCAGACCAAGCATCCCCCTACTTCACTCCTGGGTGTGATGGGCAGCTCCCTGACACCCTTAGATGGAGTTCCTCAGCTTTGGGGCTCGTGCTGTCATATTTCTATTGCCCTGGCTACTAAGAACCTCACAGAAAATCTAGAACATGGGTCTTGGAGAGGAAGGCTTGAGGAGGGTGGGCGGGGAGTGACCCATGCAGGTCCTGCTGTCTCCAGCAGGGGGCGATCAGCACCAAGCTTTGCTTGGATGGAGTGGCGTGCTGCCCAGTCCCAGTTCCTGGAACAATAAGCTGCTTACTGTAGGAGGGAGAGTCGCTCTGGTTCTAAAGCCGCGGGTGGATTTGTGGGCACTGCTCCCTCTTGGACCCCTGACTTTCCTAGTTCCCGGCTGCCCCACTTTTCAGAGGAGGAGCCTCATGCCATAGGTGGCTGGGCCTCAGTTTCCCCGTCTGTAAAATAGGCATTATCACCTCTGCCTTCTCCCCTGAGGCTTCCCACAAGCGAATTCCTAGCAGCAGGGCAGGCCCAGGAGGCTCCAGGCCCAGCCCACAAGAACAGCTGGGAAAAGCCATTTCCTTAAGTAGCAACACCAAAGAACGGGAGAGGCCATTCCAAACCGGGAGCAGGCAGCCTCGGGCCAGCTGCTGATCCTCCCAGGCCTCAGTGTCCCAAATTATCCCAAATTTGGCCCCAGGGTGGCCCCCTTTAGTCCTTGCACCAACAAGGGGCTGCCGAGCTCGAGTTGAGGTCTTCCTCACCCCCTCCCCACCCAAACAACACAAATGAAAGCCAAAAAAAAAAATCATGTCTTTATTGTTTGATTAATAAACTGGCTGGGAGGCGCAAGAGCGGTGCACGTGGCAAACACCTGCTCTGATTAGTCAGAAACTCCTGTTAACGTGTACAAAATGAATGTTACAAAAATCACATAAAAACAGGGTCAGCAAAGCAGCAGCCCTTGGGGAGGGCTCAAGGCACCTGGAAGCCTGAGAAATGGGCCCAACCTGGCCCCTGGGGCGTGGCCCAGAGACTGGGGGGCCCCGGGGGCTGCACCCGCCCCTCCCCTCCGTCACCACAGGGCACGCACGCTCTCCTCCCTCCCTGCTTAGAAATCTCTACAGAACTGCCCTCAGAGGGGCATAACCACCACAGGCCAAGGCACTGCCAGGAATGAAACGGGCCCCGAGCTGGGCGCTGAGCTCCCCGGTCTCCGGCGGCCCGGGCCTGGGGAAGGGACGCCCCTGTCCCCACGCCCAGCAGCGTGGGCAGGGACGGAGTCTGGAGCCGGGGGGGCCTCAGGCTCCTCCGCCCCCCAGAGAGGCAGCGGCCACGGAAGTCCTGAGCTGGCCCCCAGAGCGAACGGGCTGGGCTCCGGTCCGTGCCGAGTGGGAGAGGGCCACGGGCCGTCCAGCCTTTCACCGCGGCCCGAGCGCTGCTCTCCTGGCGTGGTCCTGCTGCGGCCGCCGCCCGGCGGCCCTAACTGGGGTAGCACATGCAGCAGCCCGAGCCGGCTGCCTCCACGCTGGGCTTGGCGCCGGGCCCCAGGAGCCCATCGGTGACCGAGTGCTCCATGATGATGTCCTCCACCCGGGTGATGTACAGGAATGTCAGCAGCACCCCCAGGAACTGAGGAGGAGGGGCAGGCGGGTGAGAGCCTGCTGGGGATCTGGGCGGCCTCTCGGGTGGTCCCAGCTCCCAGACACCCAGCAGTCAGTCACTGCACTCATGGCACCAGTGACCCAGGAAAGCCCAGAGCACAGGCTTCCCCTCAGCACCCCCAAGACCCAAGCAGCCCCCTCTGGGCCCTGCTCTGCCCCTCCCAGGAAATCCCAGAGACCCTCCCTGTGTCCTGTCAACAGAGGCCCCTCCATTCTGGGATTCCTGTCTTCACCCAAGCTATGCACTCATGATGTGGGGGACCTTGGGCAAGTCACTTAACCTTGCCCAGCCTCAGTTTCCTCCTCTGTAAGATGGGCATGATAATAGTACCCACCTCACAGGACTGAAGGAGACAGTGCCTGTGAAGCGCTTGGAAAAGCTTTATAAGCCATGCTATTGCCATTGGCCCTCCAGCCCTCCCAGGGTGAGCCCAGGCTGCTGGTCTAAGAGCCTTCCTCACCCCGCCCGTTTGTACCTTCTCCGCACTCTGTAATCACCAAGCCACACTTTATCTGAACCCAGTCTGCCCACCACCCACACTTCCAGCTCCCCTCCCCGGGTGGAGGGGGGACCAGCCCACCTGGGGGAGCAGGATGCCCAGCAGGAGGCCGGCCATGATGGCGTAGTTGTCCATGAACCAGATGAGCACAGCGTTGGTGCAGCCCCGCACGTAGATGACGTCCTGCACGCTGAGGCGCTGCCGGGGAAGGAGGCTGGCTGAGCACCTCGCCTGGTCCCCACTTAGGGTCCAAGCAAGTCCCTCAACCTCTCTGGGCCTCAGTGTCTCACATGCAATGTGGGAAGGTGGCTCTAGACCACTGGGTCTCAACGGGCACTACTGCTCCCAGAGAGCACTGGGGACGTGGTGGTGGCACTTTCGGTTGTCACAGCGATTGGGTTGGAGGCTGAGGGACTTCAGAGCTAAGGATAATCCTGCTCCACGAACAATTGCCCTGCCTGCGTCTCAGATGTCCCCAGGCATTCGTGTGGGTGAAAACCAGTCCATGATTATCTTGGCCAAAAGCCTGACTCCGGGGACATAAAAAACCAAAGTGTTTTCTGCGTGTTTTTACTATACATTGAATTTTGCAAAAATACGGCTATGTAAATTAAGGAATGATAATACTTTATTTTGTTCATAACTTTATCAAGAACTGTTCACCATTTAAAAAAAAACATGTCAATGGCAAAAATAACGCCCACAGCATACAAGTTGCCAACGTTACACCCCCAGGTATCAGCCGGCCCTGTCAGAGCAAACCCCCACCTGCCCTACTGTGTCCTCTGCTGACTGTATCCATTGCCTGAGGATTTACAGTTGACTTATGTCATATGGTTGTAAACTGTTTTATTTCTCCTTTTACCTCAGATCATGATGTTACTTGTTTTGAAATTAGGTATGTTGGTAGGTTATATTATCTGTGAATTTCATTTTGGGATAATAAATAGGACATTACTAAATGTTTATTATAAAAACTGGCCATTGGGTCTATGGGTTGAGAACCACTGCTGGTCTGTGGCTTTCCAACTTAAATGAGTCAGAATCACCTGCTCCGCCCCACCTCAAGAATGTGCACATCTTCCAGGTCCCTGGGGGGTGCTGTTGCTGTTGATCTGGAGACCTCAGAGAACCACTACTCAGTGGCATCTCATGTCATCATTATTTTTAGCCCCCTTCTCAGCACCCCCCCAGCTTCTCTCCTAGTCCTGGGGAGCTGTCCAGGAAGCTGACCCGGTGCAATCCCCCAGAGGGCTCTCCGCCTCCAGGGACTCCGGGGTCCCAGGCTAAGGGAGCCAGGGTGAGCCATCTGCAAACTGGCAGCTCCAAGGGCAAAGGCAGGCTGGTGCTGAGCACGGCTGGGCACCTGGGCATGCCTCACACACCCAAGCCCACAGTGGGTGCTCAGCAAACCCCGGCAGGCGGCCTCTCCCAGTCCCAGGGGATTTTTGGCTCCCTGACTGGGTAGGGGTGGAAAACCCCAGCAGTCCCTGGCTCCTATTCACAGCCAGGAATGTTGGGAAATCTCAGCATCCAGGAACCCCACTCCCAGGAACCCCTCCAATCCCCTGCGGATGGGACAAGAAGAGCAACCTTTCTGGAGGAAAGAGATTTCAAAGACCTTACCTCCTTGTCAATAGTTTTGTAGCCACACATGGTGTTCACAACTTCTGTCTGAAATAGAAGTGTATATTAGCGAACACTTCACGGTGCTTATTGTAAAAGAAACGATTATTCTCCCCATTGTATGGATGAAAACAACTGGGGCACAGGGAGTTGAACTGTCCAGTTTGGATGGAGCTGAGATTCCCAACCCGGGCAGGCTGGCTTGAGTCTGCACCCTAAACTCCCCCTCCAAGAAATGCCCAGGAAGGAAAGGTGGGAGGACCAGTTCCATGGCACTTGGGTGGGGGACCAGTCCTCCACCAGCGGCAGCCTAGGAATCTGGAGAAAAGCTGCCCCAGGTTCCCTGCTGCGGCCTCGCCAGGGGCACGGCTCTGCTGACGGGGTTATGCACTGTCTCAGAGGGCAGGGCTGGGCTGTTTCTGCTCACCGGCTCTTATGAAGGAAAACCTCAGACCACAGCCAGGATGCAGGCCAGCTGTGGTTTACCTGAGGGCAAGGCCGGGGCATCTGAGCACACTGCTGCCCCGGCAGCCTGCCACCCATCAGTGGAGGTGCTGCTGAAGGTCCCTCCTGGGAAGAGAGTTGCTCTCAGGAACCCGCAGCTGCAGATGAACCTTGGCGCAGGGAAAGCTGCAGTGGGCCCTAGACCCCATCAATCCCTTCCCAGCAGGTGTAAGTCTCAGGGCTGGCAGGGCACTTCCATCACTACCTGTGCCCCTGTGCATCTCCTCCTTCTATAAAGAGGGAGAAAGCTAGATGGCCTGGTCCCACCCCTCCACATCTAAGTGAAGCTGCTGTGGGGTAGGGTGCCACAGGTGTCAGCAGAGTGCCGGTGTGGACTCTGGCATCACATTGCCTGGTCCAGATCCTGCTCTGCCACTTACGAGCTCTGTGACTCGCCTTAGGTGTGCTGCCAAGGGACCGGCACCTGGAGGCACGCAGTAAGTACTTGTTGAATGAATGAATGGATTCCCTGGTCTCTTCCATAGAGCAATGGTGACCAGAGAACCCACCCCATGGGGCTGTTTTGAACATAAACTGAGATATACATGTAAAGTGCTGATGCCAGGGCCAGGCACAGGAGAGCACAGGAACGCTGCCTGCAGAGACTGTGTGCACGATCCTGCCTCCGGAAAGGCAAGGAAGGGCGTCTACTCTCCTTCCAGAAGAGCAGTTGGACCTTGGACATCATCCAGATCAGCCTAAATGTCAGGGCTGCTGTGTGCGCAAATCAACCCCCCTCACTCTAGACTGTCCCCAGGTGCCCTCAGACCAAGTGTCACCCGGCATCCACTGAGCATCAGCCAGTGCCTGTGGCCCGTCCAGGCCATGAACATGACCCTCATGGAGAGGGTCAGGCCTGGTAGCAGGTGCATGAGGGCATGATGGGAACGGGGCTTTCTACCTCGTCTGTTCCTTCATTCGATCATTCACTGAACAAGTATTAACTGAGCACCAATTATGTGCCAATCCCTGTTCTAGATATTTGTTATATAGAAGAACAAGACAAATTCCTTGCCTTCATGGAACTTACATTCTAGAAAGGAAGACAGACAATGAACTTAAATAAGTACACTATATGGTGTGTACAAGAGTAACTTCACTGTTCACTGTGGTTCTAGCCCTGGAGGCAGAACCACAGCCCCTGCCCTCAGGGGGCAGACACACAGCTGGCAAAGGCCTCCCTTACACCTAGAGCCCAGAGCCCTTCTCTAGGCCCCGGGGAGACTCGCCTCCCCCTGCCAGGAGAGCCCCCCTCCCAGGAGGGGCATAAGATGCATCCATGGGCTTTCCAAAGGTAAGTCCTGCCTGGATTTGACCACAGCAGCAATATTCTCCAGAGGCTCTGCTGAAGGTTCAGAGGCCCCGAGACCAGCTGTGCAGTGGCCTCTCCCATCTGGCACAGGGCCACAAGGCAGGAGGTCAGAAAGGGGACTCCCGAGCAGCCAAAGATGGATACAGCAAAGTTCACAGGGTCATTCATATGTGCTTCCTCTCACCCTGACACAGGACAGAGGAGCGGGTTATCTGGGGTCTGAGCAGCTGATGGGAAGGGGGAGAAACGCCTTCAGGGACAGGCCCCCAAGGAGTAGCCAGCAATAAGGGAGTGCATATTCACAAAAACGACACAACAGTGCAACAGGCCCAGCAGTCTGAGGCCCTTTAATGCAGAAGCAGGCTGCCCTCTACACCAACAGGCTCGGGGGCATCACTCTAGGTGATGGTGCTCCAAATCCGCTATAGACCACCAGGAGAGCTGATGGTACAGTTCCCGTCTGAAGGCCAGCAGGCTTGAGACCCAGAAAGAGCTGATGTTTCAGGTCAAGTCTAAAGGCAATCGAGCAGGAAGAATTCTCTAACTCCCATCCAAATCCTCTATAGGAAGCCAGATATAAGACATCTCAGGAAAAAAAACGCGACTTTCCCTGAAGAACTGGTATGTTTTCTTCTGTTGAACAGTAGCAGTGTAACAAATCATATCTCCCTTTTTCCTTTGGCTGCCAGGAAGCTTTAAACCACCAAAGATGAGGCTCATTTCCAGTGATTCCATAAGCCCTTTAGGCCTACATATCAGTATTTTATATTTTTCTCCATCACCTGGCCCTCTTATTTTACAATATATTTTCCATGACCTTATTTTTTTTTAATTTTAGTTTTTTACTCTGTGTATTTCCTGTGTGCTCATTCAGATCCTGGTGGAATGAGACAGTGTAAAATAGATTCACACACAAATGGAACAGATTCTACCCAGGAAGGAAACACTGTCTTTCACATTTAGAGAACGTCATCCAGGTGTGGGCGGCACAGGAGGACCCAGCAGTTTGTAACACAGGACCAGAGATAACCCAGCCAGCAGAAAGTCACCTCCTCACCCTGATGTTCCACCCAGATGCCGGCTTTAGATTCCATTTCTCTGCAGATAGCATCCGTGTCTATACTCCCAGCCTGGTCCTCTCGCCCATACTCCAGACTCCTCTACGTAACTGCCTCTTTGACATCCCCGGATGCTAGAATGCCACACAGGCTCTCAAACACCCTATGTCCACGCTGAGCTCCCAATCCCCCAGACCTGCCTCCCTGCAGTCCTCCCCTCTCAAGCAGTGGTAGCTCCGCCTTTCTTGTGGCTCAGGCCAAACTCTGGGAGTCCTCCTCGATTTCTCTCTTTCACCCACCTCCCACATCTGATCTGTCAGCAAATCCTCTTGGCTTACTTGCAAAACACAGCCAGAATCTGACCATGTTTTACCACCTCCACTGCCACCACCCAACTCTAAGCTTCTGTCTTCTCCCACCTGGTGTGGTGGACGCTGTGAGGAGTTGCCCAGAACCCCTGCAGCTGCTGGGAGCACTGCAGGCAGGAGCTCTTAGCTGTCAGTCCCCTGTGGTGATTGTCACACATGGTTAATTGTCACACGTGGTTAATTTTATGTGTCAACTTGACCGGGCCTCGTGGTTCCCAGATATTTAGCCAAACATTATTCTGGGTGTTTCTGTGAGGTCATTTTTCAGCGAGATTAACGTTTAAATCAGTAGACTGAGTAAAACAGATTGCCCTCCCTAATGTAGGTGGACCTCATCCAATCAGTTGAAGGCCTGAATAGAACAAAAACCTGAGTAAAAGAGAATTCTTCCTGCCTGACTGCCCTCGGACCTGAACTGAAACCTTGGCTCTTCCTGGATCTCGAGCCTGCCAGCTTTCGGACAAGAGCTACACCATCAGCTCTCCTGGTTCTCAGGCCTTCGGACTCAGACTGGAGCTACACCATTGGCTCTCCTGGGTCTCCAGCTTGTGGACGCATCCTGCAGATGTTGGGACTTGCCTGCCTCCATAATTCCAAGAGCCAATTCCTCATAATAAATCTCTTTACATACACACACACACACACACACACACACGCATACACACACAAACACCCTATTGGTTCTGTTTCTCTGCTGAATGTCAAGTCCCCTCCCAGGTGGGACACTGTCCTCACGCAACGCCTGGGCAGTGTGGGGTGTGAAGGCCTGGCACCCTGCCCCAGCACGGGACAACTCTGAGGGATCACCCCAGATTTAGTAGAGATTCCCACTGAGACCGCATCATTGCTTGACTCCACCTCTGCCCAGCCCTGCTCCTGTCACCTCCATTACAGGTGTTGATCCTGACAGTGCCTCCTGCTAAACCTCGCTCACTAACCAGCATCTCAGAGCCTGCTTCCCAGACACCCTGGCCTGTGACACCTGGACCACTGCACCGGCCCCTAACCAGACTCCCTGCGCCCACCTCTGCCCCACAGCAGCCAAGGTGATCCCAGTAAAGCCCAAGTCATATCTGCCACTCAGCCACTGAAGCCCTGTCACTTGACTCCCTACAGTCAAGGGAACACCAGAATCCTGACTGTGGCCTTCAGGGCAACTGTGACCTCCCTGACCTCATCTGCTACTGTCCACCCCGCCACACTCTGCTCCAGCCACACTGGTCTCTGTGCTGTTTCTCCAACACACCAGAGCAATTCCCACCCCAGGGCCTTTGCACTTGCTATTCTCGCTGTCAGGAGTGCCCCTCCCCCAGATACGCATGGCTTACCCCTTCACTTCCTGCAGGGTTTGACTGAGAACCTCCCTTCTCAGTATGTGCAACCCTCCATGCCCCACTTTATTTTTATCCTTAGCATTTATCACCTTCTAACATACTATCTCTTTTACTTATTTATTTTGTTTGTCAGTCTTCCCCACCAGGACGTCAGCTCTGTGTGGGCAGAGAGTTCTCTGTGTGTTTGCTGGACCCCCAGAACTTAGAACCGCATCTGGCACATAGCAGGTCCTCAGTCAATATTTGTTGAATGAATGAATAAATACAAGTGGGGCTTGGACATTCAGGTGCCACTGCCCAGGGTGACAAAGTTCAGGATGACCCCACAGGCTTCTCTGAAAACCCTGGGCTCCTCCCCAGCACTCCCCCTGCCCAGAGAGTTACCCTAAAATGGCAGCTAAAATTTCCAAACCACCCCCCATCCTGGCCCGGCCTTTTTTAGGGCTAGTGCACTTGGCACTGGCTCCCTGACTCATGGGCGAGGCCTCAGCCCCCACCGGCAGCTGCTTGGTTTACAGAATCCGGCAGTGGGCACAGAATGGTGGAGACGTCAGAAGAGAAATTTTCCATGACTACTCGGGGCATGAGTAATAGCAAAGCTCCCTGCCTCGTTCCAATCCAGAAACCAGGCAGTTTTCGGACACAGTAGTCAAACACACAGAACTGACGAGGCCTCTCATTCATAAGCGGTGACTGCACAGGACAGCCTCCCAAGGGGCTAAGGAGGTGCCAGGGCTGAGAGGGTCCTGCTGGGGAGAGGTGGAGGCTGGCTTTATGTCACCAGACCCCCTTCCAAGTGCCCTGTTGCTGATCGTCACCAGGACCTCAAGCCCCAAGTCCACCAGAGATGCCCGAAGTGCAGGCCCTGCTCTGCCCTCCAGCTAAGGCTGCAGAGCCGGCCGCCCCTGCTTAGCACCCCTGGCCTGGAAGCCTCTCCCACTCCTCGCCTGGCCTGTCCAGCAGTCCAGAGCACGGCTCTGATGACGGCTGCCTGTATTTCATCCCAGCCCTATCTACGTTAAGCAAGGCACCCACCCTCTTGATGCCTCAATTTCCTCCTCTGTACAGGGGTAAAATAATAGTACCCAGCTCACAGGGCTGTGGAAAGGACTAAAGGAGTTAATATTACAGAACCTGGAGCAGGCCAGACCCAGTAAGTGCTCAGTAGATGTTAACTAGTGCTCCTGGTAAAGAGAAGACCTCCCCCGCCCCGGCCCAGCTTTGCCCCTTTCTGTAGCCCTTGAGGCTCAGGAAGCCTCTGAACGACCACCACCTCCTGCCTGCCCCACCTGCCCACCAGCCCTGCCCTGAGAGACAGAGAGGTGCCTGCCCAGCCGGGCGGCCCAGGAGCAATGGGTACCGTGTTTCTGACGCAGCAGGTGTAGGGCACCCCGCAGGCCAAGGGTCCAGGGGCGCTGCAGTCGTGGTACTGGTTTGTGCTCCAGTCTCGGTAGTCTTCCGCGCCGCAGCACTTAAACTGAGAGAGGAAGCAAGCAGGGAGGGAGCTGTGTCACCGCGGAGGCCGCGGGCAGACGCACGCAGGGGCCCTGCCAGGAGACGCTGCGATTTGCGATGTGGGTCACCCCGGCAGGGGGCTACAGGGAGCTCATGAGGCTGCACATCGTCAGGTCAGAGCTCTCGAAAAGTGGCGTGGCTGCCCGGGAGGGAGTGAGCACCCTGTCACCAGAGAGGCGTGAAAGCAAGGCTGGGCAGCCTCTTGGTGGGAGATTGGGTGGTGACTCAACACTGGAGGGCAAGTCCTGCCTTGACTACCGGACTCTATCTTCACATCCCCAGTGCAGGTGCTCGAACTGAGAACGTCCTTTCAGGTCCCAGAGACTAGGATTCTACGGAAGCCCCACAACCCAGGGGCCCCCACACCACACTGACCTTCTCCTCCCCAGCCCCAGCTCTGCCTGTCCTGCCCTTGGCAAAGGAGCTCACGCACCCCACGTCCTGCCCTGGGTTCAGACCGAAGTGATGGTGAGGCCAACGTCATTGCCCCCTTAGCTGAGCTCCTCCCTGCATCTCTCCCGTACCGGTGCCAACACCTGGGGAAGCAGCTATCCTACTGAGGTGCTGGTGTGTGCCAGGCATTGTTCTGGGCACTGGAGAGATGAGGGGAACAAAGCAACACAGTCCCTGCCCACGTGGGACGGGTTCTGGTAGCGGGAGACCAGAGTAACCACTACGTGAAAGGTCAGTGAGGCAGTGCCGCAAACCAGGGACACGGAAAGATCGGGGAAAGGAGTGGGGAGGGGCGGCGTTAGGTTAGGAGCTCAGGAAGGCTGCTGAGGAGATGACGTTTAATGTGAAACACGAACAGGAAAAAGCCAGTCAACACGTGCAAAGGCCCCGTGCAGAAACAAGCAAGCTGTATTTCAGCAGCAGGTGCAGAGGCCAGCGTGTCTGGAGCAAAGCAAGTGAGAGTGGAGGGGAAGAGGCTGAGGGGGGCACAGGCCGGACCACGAAAAGTCTCGTCTGCCAGAGTAAGCAGGGAGCTGGGACTGTATTCTGAGTGATGGGGAGTCACTGGAGGGTTTAACCAGGGAAGTGATACGGTTGGAGGTCCTAGTAGAAACACAAAACAGACACCCTTCCAGAGTCGCCAGAGAGCCCTTTAGGCTATCAGTTTTTGGGACCTGGAGGTGCCTCTCTAGGGTGCAGTGCAAAGGGCATTTGCTTTGCAATCAGGCAGACCAGAGTTCAAATCCTCACACCACCTCTCCTAGCTGTGTGACTTCGGGCAGGTCGATCAGCCTCTCTGGGCCTCAGAGCCTCATCTGTAAAGCAGGAAGAGCAAAGCCAGCTTTGCACAGCTGAGCTGAGGGTTACAAAGAGAGGCCGTGCATGAAGCGCTCAGCACAGGGCCTGGCACCAAGCAAGTGCCCAATGAGCATGAGTCACCCCCATCCCACGCCAGGAGAAACAAAGTCCCCACACCTGCTGATGGCTGGTTCTAATAAAAACATCTCGCTCCACCCAACGGCCTGAGCTGGCAGGCACATTTCTGGCAGGGAAGGGCCTCCCAGAGGCTGCACCTGTTGTGACTACAGCGAAGGCCTGAGCCAAGGGAGCGGCCACAGCGGGTGGTCCTGGGTGCAGTGAGATGCTGGTCCCCACTGAGGGCTAGCACGGGCGGACCAGGCCAGCTGAGGCCCCCAAGGTCATGTCCCAGGAAGCACTGCCAGGGCTGAGGGGGCCCGCGGCCCTCCAACTCTGCTAGTCCTCACCGAGAGAACAGGACGATGAGGGTCCCTCCAGCTGATGCTCACGGTCTTACCACGTGCCTGGCTCTGCTCTAAGCCCTTCTGAATAAGCCAAGGCGTTATCACCACGACCCCAAGAGGAAGGGACCCTTAGTATCCCCCCGATGCAGATGAGGAACCTGAGGCCCAGGACTAAATGAGACTGATAAATAGAGGCCACAGAGGACAGAGGCTGGCCCTGCAACTGCTACTATTATTGCACCAACAGGCTTGGGTGGACCTTGGGGAGAGGGATGGCATCCCAAATGACAATCCTCACATTCAAAGAGGTATCACGGAGCACAATGAGCAGTCTTGTTCTGTTCCCCAATGCAGGGGGAAATGGAATCAGGGAACAGCTCTCTCCACATCCGGCTGCCCTTGACTTGGCAGGGAGTGAGCTCCCCGTCACCGAAGGGATTTGACATAGGGGACTTTGAACTGGGTGAACTGGGGACACCTCAAGGAAGGAGGATCTTTGCCCATTGGAGAGGGGCACGATGGGACCCTGCAGGGTGGCTTGTAGCTACACCTGACCTTGTTCTTTTTTTTGAGAGGGGAGGGCCCACGTAACCAGAGAGGGACAGGTAGGGCAGGATATTCTGGGCAGGCATATAGGCAGAGGACTGGTTGAGAAGGTCAGGACCCGGCGTTCCCATTCTTGGTGGCCATCTACGGCCCACCTTGCCTCCCAACTTGGCCAGCCACCTGCTTTAGGAATGAATCAGCCACGTGACCCCTCCCCCTCCCCATCTTGAGCAGTGTCCCAAGTGGGGGGCAAAGGGCGTGGGAGGCACATCCCTGACCTGAAGCACCTGGCTCACCTCCTTCTGAACAAAGTCCATGATGTTTTTGAAGTCCAGATCATCATAGTAGTTCTCAATGCCTCTTCGAATGTTGTCATTCAGAAAGTCGATGGTCTATGTAGACAGAGAAATAGTAAAAGAAGAGAAATAGTAAAAGAGAAATAGTAAAAGAAAGATGACCACACACCCCCAGAGTCCAACCCAAGATTTCCCAGAAGTCTGGATTGGAACAGAGTGCCTACATGCCCCAGTAGCCCCCACCCCCGCCTGCATGGAGCCCCTCCTCCACTCCCCACCCTCAGCACCCACAACCTCCCTGCCCACATGCCCTCTCCGTGCCCCCAGTGCCCATCAGATGCCTGAGTCCTTCTGCCATGTCCCAGCAGGAGTGATCCACCCCATTTCCTTTACAAATCAGACAGCCCAGGCCCGGAGAGGGTGCGGCCCCACCCGGGGGGACACAGCTCTGAAGCAGCCAGGCCGGGCGGGGACTCAGCTGCCCCAGTTCCTGGCCTGGTGCTCCTTCTCCCACCCAAAGACACGCCAGAGCTGAATCTTCCCTTTGCCCTCCAGACCTCTTCTCCACTCTTCTCTACTATCCCACCTCTTGTGTGATAGATAAGGAAACTGAGGCCCAGAGAGGGGGCCTGACTCTCCCCAGGTCACAGAGCAGGCTGGTTAGGGGCCCAGCCAGGCCTGGAGATCAAGTCTCCTGACCTCCCGCACAGGCCTCTCTCCACTGCAGCGCTCGGCCACACAAAAGGGCCCATCTCCCAGCTCAGGCGGGACAATCCCCACCGGGAAGAGCGCTGGCGCACCGCCCTCTCCCAGTCACACTGGGCTTTCTGGATCAACAGCCCGGCTGTTGTGCTGAAACCTGGGAGCACAAAAGGCCCCACAGCAGGAAGGGGCGGGGGCGGGAGGGTGGGCAGCCCAGCTCCACGCAAACGGCGACAATCGGACCTTTCAGAGTAGGGAGGCCCATGTATCATCAGAGATTGTGCTGGCACAAAGGGGGCATTCTCGGCTCTGGAGCCAGACAATCCCCGGGGGAGGCGCCTGCGAGTACACTGGGACCACAGGGCCCTGAATTTCACGCCCAGACCTGCCACTGCAGGCCCCATCACGGCTACTTCCCCTCTCTGGGCCTCAGTTTCCCATTTGTGACCCGACCCCGCAGGCCTATCTTTAAGACACCCTCCAGCTCCCAGGATCAAAGACTGGGCTGAGAGGAGCCGTCAAGCCTCCTGGTCAAGGACAGGCCCTGCAGCCAGCCGGGCCTCGGGCACTTCACTGAACCTCCAGCCTCCATCTCTTTACCCGCAAAGTGGGGAGGACCATCCTCTGCCTCATAGGGATGTGGTGAGATTTAAACAAGCCAAAGCTACAAAAGCACTTAGCAGGACACTGGGCACATAGCAGGTCCTGGTATTCTTATTAGAGATCTTTCTTTTCCTAGGAGACACATACCCTATGGGACCACTTCATACCCATCAAGTCATCGGTGGAAAATGGCTAATCCCAAGGGAAACTGAGGCCCCAACTCTTGTCCAAAAGACCTACTGCAATGGAGACAACTGCCAGGGCAAGCGCTGGCCCCTGGCCTGGGACCCTCACAAACACCCTGCAGCCCAGAGAGGTGATGTGACTTGTCCGTGGTCACCCCAGTGGTCACTGGCAAAGAGATGCTGGAACCAAGGTGCCAAACTGCCAGCCTGATACACGTTAAGAAGCCAAGATAAGAACCCGAGGTTCAGTTGGGTACCATCTCTCCAAACCGTCTCCCGTATCAGGGAGAGGGGAACAAAGCCTGCCACAGCTGCCTCCTTCCCAACGCTCATACTGCTCAAAGCCATGGTCATGAAGGAGACTGGCTCAGGGAAACTTGTCTCTGTGACCAGAAGGAAAACCCTCTGCTGATGATAAACAGCCATTCTGGAGCAGACCTGGCAGCTGAGGAAGGCTGGACGTCAACCTCGGGAGGAAAGAGAAGACGCAGGCGCTGGGCCAGCCCTTCTCCCCTCTGAAAGGCTCTGCACTCACCAGCCCTTGGTCCTGCACGGGTCTGGCGCTGGATCCCAGGGCAGGGGCTGGGTGAAATGGCTGCTGGCCACATGGCCTGGGCAGAGCAGGGACCCGCCTGGCCTCAGGCCCACCCTTCCCAGAGGTCCCCACGTCATGAAGCCTTTCTAACCGTGGGTGTCTGCTCCTCTGGGTGATGAAGGGACAGACCAGCAAGTTCTGGGGCACGGATGGGGTGTCTAAGAAACAGGACGTCAGGGTGGGGTCAGTCTGCCACCCAGGGTAGGGCAAAGAAATGAGCTCACGGCATTGAATGGGATGCTGCAGGGGGGCCTTGGCCGAGCTGAGGTGCAGGGGATGATGCCAGGGATGGGGACATGTCTAAGGCCACATGCATGGGGGGCTTCCTTCCACTCTCAAGGCACTGCAGACACAGTCTTGGACCACCATGTCCCTCTGCACCTATCCCAGCCCACGGCCACCTCCCAGCCCCTCCACCAGGTCACCTTCCAGCCCTCCTACTGGGTCACAAGCTCTTTGGACTCCCTCAGAGCTGGAGATGGGGGGCGGGGTGGGATGGGGGATGGGGGGGATGAGGGCAGGAGGCCCAGGGCAGGGTCAGCAGAGGGGATGCCCAGTGCCCAATGGGAAAGGCTCTCCCTCCCTCTTTGGTGAGGAGCCCTGACCTCTCTCCCCAAACTACCTCAGTCTCTGAGCAGTTTCCAAAGGCCCTGACTCCAAGAGGCCTCTTTGTGAAAATCAGGCCTTCCATCTGGTAAGCCGAGTGGGCCCCTGCGGGGAAGGGAGGCCCCACTGGAGGCCTCTTGGAATGGACAGGAAGAACAGATGGTCTCAGCTCCACGGGCTGCAGCTGCCCCCACTTCCCATCAGGGACCTCTCTGGGTCATGTTGGCTCTTGCGAGTGTGCACTGCCTTTGGCACTGTGTGTGTGAGAGAAAGAGTGAGTGTGTGAGAGAGAGAGTGTGTGTGAGAGAGAGTGTGTGTGAGTGTACTGGAGAGACGTGTAGGACATTTAGGTGGTTCCTGGGCTGTGATGCAGGGATGGGTGAGAACTCCGATGAGGCGGGTTGTTGGGCAGTTCATTAATTAACTGTCAGTGCCACGCTGTGTTCAGCTACGTTCTGAGGGACTGGGGGAGCCACTCAGAGGCCGTGCCCTGTGGGAGCACAGCAGAGAAGAGAGAATTCTGGCTTCCTCTGCTGCGGCCAGAGGCCAAACACACCAGTTTGCCTCTGCCTACACCCGCCCTGCCTACACCAGGTCACGCCAGCAGGGGCAGCTGCCACGAGAACTAGGAAACCACCTTTCATGAACGGCTGGCGTGGCCTCGGAGGCCGCGTGGCCCAGCTAAATTAAGCAGCGGGTAAGTGAACGTCAAAGGCCACAGGATTTTCAGAACATGTTCTTTAAGCCACCAGACTCAAGCTACAAAGAACTATCCTTTCTAGTTTTTTTCTTTTAAATCTAGTTTTAAAGATATGCGAAGCCTCAGCGTCACTCCTCTCTGTAGAGGTGCTTGGAGTGTTTTTAAATGAATGAGGAATCAAAGGGCATGGGGGCATGTGGCAGCAGCCCCCCAGGATGGGGGGCTGGAGGAGCAGGGAGAGGAGGAGGAGCGCAGGGGCGGCAGCTGGAGCTCCCACCAGGACCCCGGGGATGGCGCTGTCCTTCTTGGTTTCCTGCTGGCAGCTTCCATACCAGCTCCTGAGACCCGAGGCCAGGGAGGCCCGGCTGCTGAGCGGGAACCAACGCCAGCCTGGTTCTCATAACGTGGAGCGGATGCTCAGCCTAGGACTTCCCTCCTTCCTTTGTGCCTGGGCTAAGCCAGCATCTGGCGGCTCCTCTCAGTCCCCCTAGAAGGTAGGGACTCGTCCTCACCGCCCAGGGATCCCAGGCCCTGGGATGGGCCCAGCCTGACAACAAGGGTCGAGGAGACCCCAGGGAGGGGGCAGGGAGGAGGATGGAACCTGCAGGGTTCTTTAGAATATTTGCCAGACCCTCCTCAGACCCAGAAGTCACAGGTTTAATCCCCGTGGTGGGGGAGGGCCACGCTTCAGCTGCCCAGGTATTGTGGGCTCCTGCTTTCACTCCCAATGGCTGTCCACAGTGCGGCGTACCAGCTGTGGGAGTCGGGCGAGATCCGTGCAGAACTTCCTCTACTTTGCTCTGGTGGGAAGGACATGTATATGTCAGCCAAGCAGGCCATGGTGCCATCTCCTCTCTCCCTGCCCCTGACCTCAGGGTCATGCCCAGAGCCAGCTGGTGCCAGTGCCATGATGAAATCAACAGGCTGGGTGCTGCCCATGGCCCCTGGACCTGGTGTTGAGTGCGACCACAGCACCTCTGATCAAGGGCAGGAAAGAGGCCACTCCTCCCCTGCCCTGGTGGTAGAGGGAAGGAGGCCTGGGATGTGGTACAGATGTACAAGTTACAGCCCAGTGCTCTCTGGGCGTCCCTTCTCAGCTCTGCCTGGCTGGGAACACATGGCCAGAGCTGCCCACCTCCACCACCCCTGACACCCTCAAGAGAGGCCCCGGAACAAGCTGGGGTGATAGCAGATCAAGCGGGGTGAGACCCAGACAGCTGTGGAGGTCCCTGGAGTTCCCCTCCCACTGGCTGGGGCCAGGATGCTGCACTTCTCCTGCTCCTAATGCCCAGGCCCTTGGGGCCCCTGCTCTGTGCTCTGCTCCCCAGTACACGACCACTTGACCCTATATAAGCAGAGAACCTGCTTCAGTCTGACCGCCAGGCCACTCTTGTCAGCAGAAACCTCACCCGGGGTCGGGGTTGATGGAGAGTTTCTTCCTTCACTTGGGACTCTGTTTATATTTCACTGCCTGGCTGTGGTCATGGTCTATGCACCTTCCTGAGAATCTAGCGTAAAGTCATTAGCCTGATGATTTGTCCTCATTTGTCACCACAAGTGGATTCTTAGAGTTAACAGGTAGCTTCTGGGGCTGGAGACTGAACTTGTTATAGTGTGGCTCAGAGAAATCCGTTTTCTCCTCTTAGTGAGGAAAAAATGGAATTGGGAACTCACCTCCTCCCAGAAGCTGACCTTGATTGCTCCT